AGATTTCCTTAGGTGGGGTATATATATGTTTGTATTCAATATATTTATTAGTTAAATATGTTTATATTATTATTCAGTGTTGGGGAAAGTTACTTTTAAAAGTAATGCATTACAATATTGCGTTACTCCATAAAAAAGTAACTAATTACGTTACTTAGTTACTTTTAATGGAATGGAATGTGTTACGTTACTTTTGCGTTACTTTTTAAATCTGGACAGGGCTGGGACAGGAGAGCTGTCAATCAATAAATTGGAAAAAAAAGTAACTTGCGTTACTTATTTGAAAAAGTAACTCAGATATTCTCTTGTAAATTAAAAATTAATGCGTTACTTTACTAGTTACTTGAAAAAAGTAATCTGATTACGTAACTCGCGTTACTTGTAATGCGTTACCCCCAAAACTGTAATATTCATCTTTCTGAAGTGCCCGAGTCATCGCCCTTCGGATCCTTTCGCCCGATTCTGTCTGCACTGCGGAGCACCAGTGCCTCCAATACCTGGTCAAAGGCTGCCCCCTACTGAAGGAGGACAGGTACAACATATTCTGCTACTACAAAAATACAGTGATGATCAGATAACCAGTGATCATTTCACAATAATATGAGTATGTGCTGTGATTTTGCACAGATGGGTCTATGTGTGCATTGTAAAGCCATGGTGCCTCTCAATACGGCCACATGTATAGTGTGCGAGTCTCCCCTGACTCAACAACTGCAGCCGCAGGCTAGTCTGAGACTACAGGTAAATTCTCATCTGTAGTAGAGCACTCCTATGAGTCTATTAAATGTACTTATTAGATCAATTAAGTATATTATATTCATGTTATTCTAGGATAAGCTCATCTGTCACTCTTGTGGGACGGGAAACCCCACTCATATCACACACTGTGTCACTTGTGAATCCCAGCTGCTTCAGCAAACAACAGTAAGAGCCCCGACTACAAGAAATCCGCATTGTCTGCCTTAGCTAATCAGAATTATTATTTAATAATTATTAGGATTGAGACAAGACACTATTATAACGGTGTTTTTCATCCCACAGCGGTTTTTGAGCGGACAGAGAGCTGCACCTGTACCCAGCTCACAGGGCAAAATGGTCTCCTGCTCCAAGTGCAATAGAGTCAACCACTCAGACGCTCGATTCTGCGACTGGTGTGGGGCAAATGTGACAAACCAAACTGTTGAAGACCTACACTACCAGTCAAACGTTTTTGACCAGTAAGACTTTTAATGTTTTTTAAAGAAGTCTCTTCTGCTCACCAAGCCTGCATTTATTTGATCCAAAGTACAGTAAAAACAGTAACATTTTGAAATAGTTTTACTGTTTAAAATAACTGCTTTCTATTTGAATATATTTTGAAATTGTCCTCATTTGTAAGTCGCTTTGGATAAAAGTGTCTGCTAAATGACTAAATGTAATGTAATGTAAAATGTAATTTATTCCTGTGATCAAAGCTGAATTTTCAGCATCATTACTCCAGTCTTCAGTGTCACATGATCCTTCAGAAATCATTCTAACATTCTGATTTGCTGCTAAAAAACTTTTATTATTTTATTATTATTATGTTGAAAACATTTTTTAGGTTTCTTTGATGAATAGAAAGTTCAGAAGAACAGCATTTATCTGAAGTATAAATCTTTTTTAACATTATAAATGTTTTTATCATCACTTTTGATCAATTTAAAGCAAGGAATATAAATAAAAGTATTATTTTCTATAATTTCAGTGTGTGTATATATATATATATATATATACACATATCAAAAAATTAGAATATCGTGAAAAAGTTAATTTTTTGTAACTTATTTCAAAAAGTGAAACTTTCATATTGTGGCGAGTATCCCGAGTCCAGATTAGCGTCGCCCTGGAAACGCCGCTGCCACACTGATCACAGAAGCACAACACCTGTGCGTGATGAGTGGCGCACCTGGAGCTCGTTCCCGCTGGCCATAAAAGCCAGGAGAAGAGACACCAGCGGAAAGGCACCCCGGAGCTCCAGACGACGTTAATGCTTGTTTCTCCCTATTCACATACTCCGACGGCACCCGAGGAGAGGGATCTGCACCACGGCACTTCACCCCACGAGCACCACGCTGAGACGAGCACCATTCATCCGAGCACGTGTGATCAGTGTGTGGGCAATAAATCACCCTCCGGGGCTCTTTCGATCAGTACCGAGTCTGTGTTCTCATTCACCCCGCGACAATATATTCTAGATTCATTACATGTAAAGTAAAACATTTCAAACGGTTTTTTTTGTTTTAATTTTGATTAGAGCTTACAGCTCCAAATCCAGTATCTCAAAATATTAGAATATTTCCTAAGATCAATCAAAAAAAGTATTTGCAAAACAGAAAAGTTCAGGTTATGTAAAGTTATATTTAAAAGTATGTTCATTTATGCACTCAATACTTGGTGCAAACCACTTGGAAGTGGTTTTGGCACTGTGGGCAGGTGCTAAAGCCTGAAACCTGAAATCAGCATCTCTATAAAGCTTGTCAGCAGATAGGAGCATAAAGTGCTCCAAAATCTCCTGGTAGACGGCTGCATTGACTTTGGACTTGATAAAACACAATGGACCAACACCAGCAGACGTCACGGCACCAGAAATCATCTCTGACTTCGGACACTTCACACTGGACTTCCAGCAGCTTGGATTCTGTGCCTCTCCAGTCTTCCTCCAGACTATAGACCTTGATTTCCAAATGAAATGCAAAATTTACTTTTATCTGAAAAGAGGACTTTGGACCACTGAGCAACAGTCCAGTTCTTTTTCTCCTTAGCCCAGGTAAGATGCTTCTGACGTTGTTTCTGTTTCAGAAGTGGCTTGGTATTCCTTTTCCTGAAGAAGTCTGAGCGTGGTGCCTCTTGATGCACTGACTCCAGCTTCAGTCCACTCCTCATGAAGCTCTCCCAAGTGTTTGAATCAGCTTTGCTTGACAGTATTTTCAAGGTCATCCCTGTTGCTTGTGCACCATTTCCTACCCATTTTCTTCCTTCCAGTCAACTTTGCATTAAATGTGCTTTGATACAGCACTCTGTGAACAGCCACCCCTTTCAGTAATGACCTTCTGTGACTTACTCTCTTTGTGGAGGGTGTCAATGATTGCCTTCTGGACCTTTGCCAAGTCAGCAGTCTTCCCCATTATTGTGGTTTCAAAGAACAAGAAATACCCAGAATTTATACTGTAGGGATGGTCATTTAATGAAACTCAAATGTAAATATTCTAATATTTTGAGGTACTGGATTTTTGACTTTTATGAGCTTTAAGCTTTAATCAAAATTAAAACCAAAAATCTTTTGAAATGGTTTACTTTACATGATAATAATAATAATAATAATAATAATAAATGTTTCTTTTATTATTGTTCATCAAATTTTCACAGCTGAAATCCATGTATTTTTTTAGGAATCAATTTCATCAGGAATTTCTCGTAAGGGCGAAGCATTTAGCAACGGGTTCAAGTTGGCCATAGATTCAGCGCGTTGACCAACAGAAAGCTGCTTTGTTTGAAATTTTGCCAAAATTTTGCAAATGTGACTACATGTTAAGACTACATAAACAGTGATAGCCTATTCTTTCATTTTTAATGAGGCACCAACTAGAGCCTTTTGATATGTACCACCTCAACTTCCTGTTTCAATAGGAAATGCATCAATACAGGAAAGAAAACTTAATCATCAAGCGGTTTCATGTGTTCTTTATGTCCTTTTCAAACTGTTTTGTCACTGAAAGATTTTATGGAACTGTATATTTGGTGTAAATTATAATATGGAGATTCAATCAAAATATCATTGCATATATTTGGCAATGTTTGTGTAAATTGGAATGCCTTGTAATTTCGTGTTTATACTTGCAGCCCGGCCACAAAGCCAGCTCTGTGACTTGTTGTCAGTGTGGAGCTAGCAGCCATCCTTATGCTAATTTACTGCAGTGGCTGTGGTGTCTTCCTGGACAGCCCACCCAGGACGCCCTCACATGTAAACCAGGGACAGGACACACAGGAAGCTGATCAGGTACAGTACACAGCCTGTTTAGTGCTCATTAAAAGCGTACAGTATTATATCGTCCTCATCATCGCTCTTTCTCATATAGTCTTCAGCCACCTGGCAGGCAGTTCCGGCACCTGAGTCAACAACTGAGCTTCCAGCTGCGGGTTTGCACATGTGCGCAGATGCACAGACGCAGACGGTGGGTCTGTTTTTCCCATCCAGCACTGAGCTGAAAAAACGGAGCCAGCAGAGGGAGGCGGAGCTTTGCAGACAGGAGCAGTTGAGTGACAGGAAGCCCCTCCTCACTGCCATTAGTCCAGGCCAAGATAGACTATTGTCCAATATACTTTTTCCAAATAAATAAGCATGCCTTCTACAGATGTTTATGTGGTGTGTGTATGATTTAGGATACTGGAGGAAGCAGCTGGATCACATTTGCGCTCATCTGCTCAGTTACACTCAGAATAATACTGAGTTTAGAGCTCTGATTGGAGAACCTCGCCTGGGCAGAGTAAGACCAGAACTATCCACTATACGTTTTATATATATATATATATATATATATATGGAAATTTTAATATATGGAAATGTGCATATTTTCTAAATATATGCTGTATGTGTGTGTACTTATAAAATACACAGTACACACACATATATCATGTAAACAAAAACTTTTATTTTCAATGCGATTAATCGTTTGACAGCACTACTTTAGACCATTTCTGCTTCTTTGGACGTACAGGTACAGAGTCTCCTGTTGTTGCTGCTCTTAAAGCATGATAATAGTTGTGTTCTGTTTGTTGTGCTCTTTGCGTGACCAAACAGCACTATCTTTATTCATATTGCTATAATTATGAATATTTCTTTAATGTGTAAAACTTTTTAAATTAGTACCAAACTTTTTAAATTAGTACCACACCACTGAAAGCACTTTTGACAAAGAAACATAAATAAACAAGAACCAACGCATTATTAAACATTTTGATATTTAATTAACAGGTGGCGACATTTTTATCTGCACAACTGTGAATACAAAACAAAACATTTTTTAAACTACTAAAAACTAATTTAGCTATGTTTATGGTGCAGAAGGAAGAGAGTTATGCTGGTGTATGTATGCGGAGAAACAAATCCTTCGCTTTGGTTTAAACATTGAACCAAATATAAAATAAATCACATAAATCACACTAAGCCTCAAACGGTTAATAATGCAACAAATATGACTGTGATAACACTAACAAACACTCCCTGACTGACATCCGAGTCACATGACAACGAAGTTACACGACGTACAAAACCCAAAGCTTAGGCTCCTCAGCGGCGTAAGCGCAGGAAGAATGCGTGCCTGCACTCTTTGCTGTCCACCGGGTAATATTTATCATAAAAGTCCAGGATGTACTCCTCTGTCTTGAAGCCGAACTTCTGGTAGAGCAGCATGGCAGGGTTGCTCGCCGATACGTGAAGGGTCACATCCTTTCCCATGCAGGTCTACAGAGAGAAAAGAAAACTCCTGTATCAACTGAAGCTTGTTAACTCAACGTGGTTTATTTATTTTTGACTCACCTGAATGAGATGGTAGATCATGAATGTGGCGATACCAGCTCGCCTCCATTCAGGATGCACCAGCAGGAAGGAGATGTAGGCCTCGTTGTATTTCACATCTGGCACCATGAAGCCAAAACCGATGGCAACTTTCTTGTAAAGCACCACCACGCTGAAGTCTGGGTACTGGAGGCACTCTGATAGGTCGATACCTGATAAACAGAAGAACCTATTACTCCATCGGGACCTAACTTCACCCAAAATCTGTGTTTGACAGGATGAAAAGATGATTACCAGGCCAGAAGATGTCTTGGCACATGGAGTTGACAGAAGGGATGTGATTGGGTCGCACATAGCAGTAGTCTATAGGTGCGTCAGGTTCAGCAACCCAATTTGGGTCCTTCCTGTGAGGATACGCACGGATCTCTGAGAGTAAACGCAGCTTCAGCGGCCGACTCTCATAGTCTCTCCTACACACAATCATAAACATACCCATGGGTTTTGTAAACATGGATGGTTGTATGTTAAAGGGGTCAAATGATGCTGCTAAAAAGAACATTATTTTGTGTATTTGGTGTAATGAAATGTGTTTATGCGGTTTAAAGTTCAAAAAACACATTATTTTCTACATACTGTACATTATTGTTTCTCCTCTATGCCCCGCCTTTTTGAAACGCGTCGATTTTTACAAAGCTCATCGGTCTGAAAAAGCAAGGTGTGCTGTGATTGGCCAGCAACGGTCCTCCATAAAATGTGCTGCATACATCTAAATATTTGGGTCGAAGTGTTCTGGAACAGTGTTGTAAATACAACTTAACCACTGATTTCTAGTCGTGTCCATTTTTGGAAGGCCAAACAAAGTAGTTTCGCTTTCACAACGAAACACCGCGCCTTCACGACATGGCGGCGGCGGCAACAACAACAAT